CTGGGGAAGGGCAGAGGGAAGGGGCTGGGGAAGGGCTGGGGAAGGGGCCGGGAAAGGGCTGGGGAAGGGCAGAGGGAAGGGCTGGGGAAGGGCAGAGGGAAGGGTCTCTGCTCCAGACACAGCCCCACAGTGCCCGGCTGCAGCCAGGGAAGGGCCACTCTGTGCTCACCTCACCTGGCACCTGCTCCAGAGCCGGCTCACTACTGTGCCAGCCTCCTGCACACGCTCCCTTCCGAGCCAGGGCCGCGGCTTTGAAGATCTCCTTGATAAGCATTTTCTCTGCATCTTCTGTCACATCCTCTCTGAGACGCCGGGCCTAACTCAGAGCCACCTCTGCCCAGCTTCACTGCATTCAGACCATTGTGACACCACTCAGAACATTCTGTGACTGCAGCCCGCTCCCAGCCCGCGCTAAGGCACACGCTGCCGTGAACGCGGCGGCTGAATCCTTTCTCTTTTATACCAAAGCTATGGAATAACGTCCAAGACACGTGTTAGAGCACACACATCTGGTCTGGAAAGCCAGCTCACCCTCCCGGCCAGACCCCAAGCGTGGGGAAGCCGCGGCAGCCCCGGCACAGCAGCACCGGGTCGGGCTGGCGGCAGCAGCCGCTCAGCCCCGGGGCTCTGCCAGCTGCAGTCACACACACCTAACCCCAACACACCGACAGCACGGCGAGCCCACGGTGACAACTGCTGCGCCTTTTCCTCACGCTGCCTCTGGAGAACAGCCCGCAGCATTCCCAGACTCCTTCTGCCAGTTCAGCGCTCTCACACCGAGCAGCTGTCCAGAGCTGAATACAACTTATCTCTAGGATAAACACACACCCCCAGAGCAAACCTGACAGGAGCAGAGCAAAGGCTTCTTAACAGGATCAGTTCAATCTTTGTTTCATCCCCTTTTTCACATTTCCTAGATGCTTTTTGCTTTCGGAGAACGCGCCTGTGTGAAGGATGTGCCTGCCAGCGCCTCACAGCTCACCCAGGGGAGCAGAGCTGTCCTCGCCCCTGCTCCCAGCAGCCAAACAATGACCACCTGAGGCAGGTTCAGATGCCTCTGTCCTGTTTCGTTCAAAAATGAACTGACAGCTTCCGTGTATCCTCCATAGAAGTTTTAATCAACTACTCACCTGAGGGACTCTTGGTTCCCAGAAGTCCCCAATTTGTCCCTTTTTTCTTACTTTACCAGCATCTTCCTCACTGCACAGCTGGAGCGAACCACTGATCTCACTGGAGAGGAAACAGACATAGCTACTGGAATATTTTACTTTCCAATCTGTGTGCACTAAGGTCTCTCACAGCAAAGGGGTGCAGCAGGCAGAAAACCAATCCACGCCTAATGGAGAGATCATTTTGCTGTTACCTTAGTGAGGACCTTTTAATAAGCACACAATACATGGTCTGAACGGTGTTGAACTGATGCTTACCAGGAGGAGGAGATGCTTCTCAGTTTCTGGGACACAGACACTTAAAGATGTGAAGCCACCAAAACCTGCAGTTTGCAGTGTTTTACCTTAGCCATAAACCTGAGCAGAGCTAGAGCTGCTCAGCACTCAGGTACTGGAGCAGACACTCACAGTAGAGACTGAGCAGGCCCAGATGTTTCTTTATCAGTGCAAACCCAAAGCCCTACGGCAGCCACTGCCAGCATTTGAAGATGCTTCTCCTAGAAGAGAAGAAAGCAGTCTGTTGCATTAGAAGTGGTAACCCTGGCACTGGTCTGTTACTGCCTCAACTGACATTGCATTTCTCCATTTCGTTCAGAAAAGAGCTACTGAATTTAATTATACTGCAACAACATCTACAGCCAAAAATGTCAACAAAACTGGTTTAATTTCAGAAAATGTGTTAAAATATATATATATTTGTACATCAATTTGACACACTGCATTAGTTTACACAAATGATGGTCTTTCTTGAAACTGTATTTATGAAATGTACATTTTTAATTTAAATACTCAGTATACACTGCATTTAATCTGCATGTTGCATTTATTAAATACATTAAATCTGCAATGTAACAAAACGTTTTCTGCATACGAAATTCAAAACACCATTTTAAATGAACAAAAGATGGCTCACTTCATTTATTTGTTTTAACAACTAGTGCCTAGCACACTAGCTTAGCTCCACCAACACCAGCTGTTCTTTCTCTTTACTGACATTGTTCACAGACTAGTACATATTACACTAAGAGTGCTGGATAAAAACATGAGGTACGGAAGTGGTTCAAAGATTACAGGTCATGCAGATCATGCGAGACAGCAAAGAAAGTTGTGAATGAGAAAACACTAAATAAAAAATACATAAAGAATGTGCATCATAAAATAAAAAAAAAACCCAAACAAAAAGCCAACAGAACAAAACAAAAAACCAACAACCAACTCAATTACACAGCTTTGCTTCTTTGGTTACAAAGTAGGTTGAACAATTTCACAGCTTTTTATTCCCACCCAAAAAACTAAACCAAAAACGAAATGTCAAAAAGCAGAGGAATCATGGCCCCTTTCTCTCTATTAGAAAGTAGAAACAGAAATGAGCAAAGTTTTCTTCATCAAAATAGCCCATCGCTTATTTATTATATCACAAGGACTGGTGACTACCTGTACAGATGCACTATGGTCTTCATACTTACACTCTATACAAAATTTACATTCAAGCTGGATCTTTACTACCGTAAATAAATACCAAAGGTCAACTGCCATTAGTGTTAGAAATATGCCAGGATTCTTTGTTCAATTATTGCCTAGACATTGTATCTATTAACGCAATCCCATCTATCATTTTACCCATACAGACATTTATTTAAAAAAAAATTCAAAAGTTCTGTGACATTGTTCATGTACATTATGAAAATAGCAGCCCTGTAATAAATAAAACAAATAAATGAAACTAACATAGGCAAATGTTACTTATATGAAAAGAACAGTGGCTCTGAAGAGGAATTGTTGCTCCTTACCAGACAGCAAGGCTCAAAGCAACCCAGGAGCAATGGGAACCTCGGAGAGCCACCCAAGCTCTAACAGACCTCCCTCCCGAAGCCCAGGGGACTGCAGGGACTCCTCGGCGACCTCCCGTGCGCAGCGAGGACGTGCGGACACCTCCCACGCTGCAGCCCCAGCTGCCGGCAGGGCTCGGCTCTGGGAGGATGATTGTCTAATACTGAAAAGGCCAAACACACAACAGAAGCACGGCTGCTCGCTCCGGGCGGGTGGGAGCCGGCGGTGGCACACGGCGCGGCCGCTCACGCCGAGGACACGTTGGGCTGCGGCGGCTGCGCCGGCGGGGGCTGCGCCTGCGAGGT